ATGACCTGAGCCGAAGGCAGCCGCTTAACCAACTGAGCCACCCAGGCGCCCCTGTTTTGGGTTTTTTTTAAAGATTTTATTTATTTATTTATTTGAGGGTGGGGGATGGAGAGAAAGAGATCATGAGCAGGAGGAGGAGCAGAGGGAAAGGGAGGGAGAGAATCTCAAGCAGACTCAATGCCGAGCCCGGAGCCTCACACAGGGCTCCATCTCACAACTATGAGATCATGACCTGAGCCAAAATCAAGAGTCGGACGTTCAACTGACTGAGACACCCAATTCACTCTTTTTAAGTGTATAATTTGATGATCACTTGATGAACTTTTGGGTGATTCCACTTTTTGATATTATAAATAACAATGCTATGAACATTGTGTACAAGTTTTGTGCACACTGTGTTTTCATTTCTTTGGGGTATATACCTACAAGTTTTATTGCTGGGTCCTGAGGTAACTCTGTTTAAACTTTTGAGAAACTACTCAATGTTTTCTATAGCAGCTGCACCATTTTTACATTCCCAGCAACTGTGTATGAGGGGAATGTCCAGTCCACATCTTCACCAACACTAGTTATGGTCTGTCTTTTTAATTCTAGCCATTCCAGTGGGTATGAAGTGGTATCTCATTGTTTTGATTTGCGTTTCCCTAATAACTAATGATGTTAAGCATTTTTTTCAAGTGCTTATTGGCTAGTCACACATTTTTAAAAAAAGATTTATTGATTTATTTGAGAGAAAGAGAGAGAGAGCTTGTGTGAGAGTGAGGGGAGGGGCAGAGAGAAAGAGAGAGAATCTCACTCCCTGCTGAGTGCAAAGCCCTATGTGGGGCTGGATCTCACTACCTTGAGATCAGGACCTGAGCCGAAATCAAGAGTCGGACACTAAACTGACTGAGCCACCCAGGCGCCCCAGCTAGTCACACATCTTCTTTGCAGAAATATCTATTCATACTATTTGTCCGTTTTTAAATTACATTGCCTTTTTATTATTGAGTTGTAAGAGTGCTTTATATTGTTTGAAGTAAGTCTCTTATCAGGTATATAATTTGCAAGTATTTTCTCCCATGCCTTGGGTTGTCTTTTCACTTTCTTGATGGCGTCCTTTGAGGCAGAAAAGCTTTTAACTTTGGTCCAGTCCAATGTAATTTAATTTTTTTCTTTTGTCTCTTGTGCTTTTGATGTCATGTCTAAGAAACCGCTGCCTAACTCAAGGTCATGAGGATCTACTCCTATGCTTTCTTCTAAGAGTGTCATGGTTTTGAATCTTTACACTTAAAAGTATTCTTGTTAACCCTTCAGGCTACTCAAAACACATCTCTCTGTGGATCTGGCTTGTGGTTGTCGAGTAACCAACTGTCAAGGCTTGCCTGGGACTCAGGTCTTCCCAGGACTTGGAACTTCCAGTGCTAAAACTCGAGGTCCTGGGCAAACCAGGACAAGTTGGACACACTACCAATGGACCTCCAACTAGCCAGCTCTAATAGAAATCATTACCCTTGCTCTCCACCGCTTACAATAGATACCAAATCCCTACTGACCTGGAATGAAAGTTCAGTTTGTTTTCAGTTTAACAAGCATGTATTGAGTGTACACAATGCAAAGCCCTGGGGTTAAGTTTAGTGAGGGATATTAAATTCCAATTTCAGTGTCCATAAATAAAGTTTTATTGTTCTAGGCCCTTGGGGTACATCAGCAAACCTTTATGGAGCTTAAGTTCTAAAGAGGGCAGACAATGTAGCTGGAGGAGGATGAGGAAACCACAGATCGGGAGGATTTTGAAGGCAGGGATTTGGTTTTATTAATCTTTGATTCCCCAGTGTCAGGGCTGTAGAAATCACTCAAAAATGCTTGTTTCCTGAATGAATGAATAAATGAATGAATGAGTGATCTTTGAGCTTCCCATACTTAACATTTTTTTTTCTTGATCCATTTCACTAGACAGCCCCATGATGACAATGACACGTCTAACTTGTCTCGCATATACCTGGCGCCTATTACAGTGTCTGGCATACAGTAGGTGCTCAATAAACAGTATTTTCATGCATGCTTCTTTGAATTTTTCATTCCCTTCATTTGCTATACCAGCCTGGGTTTCAAGAATATTACACCGATAACAACACTAATGAATCCCTACAAATAAACATTTAGAGAGGGGTTGTCAACCAAAGAGTGCTCATTGGTACCTCGACAGCCATTTCACAGGCTGTTGTGCCCTACAGGCACCCAGTAAAACATCGCCAACCACAGAGAGCCTGTAAATTCCTCTAACCAGAAGGGCTCTCCCCGCCCCCTCTCCCCGCGCAGCTCGCTCTGCCCTCCGCCTCCTCCTCTCCGCCCACTCTCCTGGCGGCCGCGGCTTTGTCTCGTAGGCTGGTTCCCGGCGGCTCCCTCCCCTGAACAGCTGCCGCCAAGGGAGGAAGCGGCGCGGGAGCTGTCCAGCACCCTGGTGCTGAAACCCCGACCGCTCGTCATCCACCAACACCATGTAAGGGCCATGAAAAGGGCTCGTCCTGGCGCAGCGCGGACATGGAGGAGGACTTATTCCAGCTAAGGCAGCTGCCGTGAGTATCATGGGGGCGAGGGAGAGGCAGACAGGCTTTCCTTTAAGAAATGAAAACCGGCAGGGGGGCATCTCTGCATGGCTTCTTGAATGTAAAAGGAACTGTTGGAGAGGAAAGAATTAGGCCCCAAGGAGACAAGCCATTTTCCTATTTCACAGTCCAGCCTCTGTATCTCTGACTCAGTTCTATTTTTCAGATCCGTCAGAATCTTATGGGGACCTGGGGCTGTTATGTTTTCCCTTTTAATTGCTCGCAATCCTAAAGGGATTTTTGAGGTCTGTGTTTTAAGAGAAAGCATTAGCTGCTGTTTTGAAAATGTGGACTGAATTGATGAGTCCATGCAATGACATTGGTTTTTCCCAGCCTTTTCTCCTATGCTGTGAAATTCCTAATTTTTCTGCAAGGTCTTTTGGAAGGGAATGGTACTGCTGTTGCAAAGTGGTTTCTAAAAAGCCGGAATACCTTCCTAGAGGGGAGGCTTGGGCAAAGTCTTGTTGTTTATGAAGTGTGTGAATGAGAGGGCTGAAACCTCTTGCCTTCTCCTGAATGAAAGGATTTTGTAACAGCTACCTAGAGTGAGACTCTGTCGAAGGCTATCCTTGAGAACATCAGGAATACAAAGCTAGAGGATGGGAATTTTTAAGGGACATCAAATTTACTCTGAGAATCTTGGAAAAATACAACCAAGCAACAGAAAGGACAGGGGCCTTGTGGAGGGGCTTACCAATTTCTTCTACTACAAGCCACTGGTGATTGTTAAGCAAATCCCAAGACTATGGGATGGGGCATTAATGGGGATTTTTGTTTTAATTTTTAGAAGCACTAGCCATTTGGATGGTAAAGGTAGACACTGTTTGGATTTGTTGTAAAGGATACATCATTGTTAGTGTATGTGTATTTTCTTGACTTAAATTTTTTTTTTCCTCTGTAAGCCACGGAGAAATTCTCCCAAGTGACTTTTAGTGTGACTGATACAGCTCTCTGAGGCTCTGAATACTGAAGGGTATTGTTAATGTTTACTTCTCAATCGGTGTAAAATTAATTTTCATTTAAAAATTTTAATTAAATTTTACTTTTAAGTATTTATTAATTGGTCTACAAATAGCATATCTTATGTAATCAGCATTATTTCACAAATGCCAAAGGATGTTCAGTTATAATATCCAGAGGTCGATGTATGAATATATAAAAATATACATATGTGACTGTAAGTCTCTTGAGGGAAACACCACTTTTGTTGAAAACAAATATCATGTTAAAAAAAACAACCTATTATCTCAAAATTAAAAAAATAATTCAGAAATTGAAATATGAAATCTGGTACTCAGAATAAGAATACAATACATATTGGAATGGCAGTTTATTGAGATAAATTTTCAAATAATGTCAGAGCATGTGAACTTTGCAGATTACTTAGAGATTCATTTATATTTAATCTATTCAAGTATAGACATGACACTATTGTGACAATTCCTTCCTTAATTAAAAAGAAGGTAAAAATGATGAGGTTTTTATTTATTTAAATTTAAAAATTAATTTAGTTTTTTATACTCATGTTAATATAATGTACTAATATAATCTATACATAGGGTAAATAAAGTTTGAAAAGAAGTACAAGAATAAAAGGTAGTCTCTCTCTTCCCAAACCGCAGGTTAAGTTTCTTGGTTATTCTCTCTGATACTTTAACATGTAAATACATGTAATATCTATTAGCAAGGCCAAATTGTGTCTGGCTAAGAGCATTAGCTCTTAAGTAAGACAGGCTTGAATTCAGATCTTGGCTTTGCCACTTTCCGGTTATTTGACTTTGAGCAAGTGACTTAACCTTTCTGAGATTGAGCTTCCCTCACCATAAAATGGGGCTCACAATAGTCCTTGATTCACAGAGTTACTGTAACGATCAGGTGAGATAATGTGTGCTGAACGCCTGGTAGACACAAAGCACTCAACATATATTAACTAATATTATTATTACATCTCAAAAAATCATTTATAAAAATGTATAGAGACTCCCTATGCTGGAATCTTCAAAATCGTAATCTGCAATTTGAATGAAGTCAGAATTAGCCCTGAAACGTGTTGACTTCTATTTATAAAAAAGGAGTGAAGTAAAAGGAACAGCTACATGAATCTGAGGGGGTTACAAATCACGACTTAGAGGTTTTTTAAACCACACCCTGTGTATATTGTGTACAGATTGCAGGCAACAGATTTCCTGAGAGCAATATGGTTTTTTTAAAAAATCAGAATTCCCTGTAGAGGGTTGGCAAGAGTGGACTTTGGAACAGACTTAGTCCTGTGGGAAGCCAAGTGTTAATATATTATAAGCCACTAAGTAGTTTACAAGGTTCAGGGAGGGGAAAGGGGGATGAGGGTGCCTAAGGAAACAGTCCCTCCTTACACTTGAGCTCCTTCACACAGCTCTAGGATGGTTCATTTTAGGCCCCAAACAACCTCTGCCTTTCACCTGCTGTCCATTTAGGCACAGTACCATGTACAGGAGATTCTGGAGCCTAAGGTTTTGTGTTTTTTTTTTAAGATTTTATTTATATTTGACAGAGAGAGACACAGCGAGAGAAGGAACACAAGCAGGGGGAGTAGGAGAGGGAGAAGCAGGCTTTCCACAGAGCAGGGAGCCCGATGTGGGACTCGATCCCAGGACCCTGGGATCATGACCTGAGCCGAAGGCAGACGCTTAATGACTGAGCTGTCCAGGCACCCCTGGAGTCTAAGATTTTGTATCTAGTTCTGCCTTATTATATGACCTTGTGCAAGTCAGACTTCTCTAGGTCTCTCCTTTGTAGGATGATTTCTTGAAAGCAACTTTTGCAGACTACATTGGTTGATTGGTTGATTGACTCATTCATTTTATTCATTTAGGCACCATCCTAGATACAAGGGATTCTACAACTAAGATAGACATGGTCCTTGCTCTCAAGGAAGTCACAGTCTGGAGCTGCAATGTCCAATACGGTTGTCACTAGCCATATGTGGTTATTTAAATTTAAACTTAAATTATGTAATTTGGATATGAAATCATTTCTATAGTATAATATACAATATAAAATGTAACTTATAAATAAATACGTGAAATTTGAAAAATCATTTTCTCAATTGCACTAACCACATTTTGAGTGCTCAATAGCTACATGTGATTAGTGGCTACCACATTGGACAGCACAGGTCTAAAACATTTCCATAACTGCAGAAAATTCTATTGGACAGCACTGGACTGGTGCTGAGAGAGGCAGACATTGAACACATATCATTGCCCAATAATTATGAGAATTGTTTTAAGGGCTGTAAAGGAAAAGTGCAGGGTGCAGTGAGACTAGTTCTAGATGGGGTGGGGGGGAGGATCAGTGAAGGTTTCCTTGAGGAAGTGACATTGCAGTTGAGCCCCCAGAGATGTATAGGAGTCATCCAAGGAAAGAGATAGGCTGAGGAGTATTATGGACAAAGGGAACTGTGTAGACAAAAGCACTGAAGTAGGAAAAAAGTGTTGCATCTCAAAATCAGGCCAGTGGAGGGAACATAGAGGAAACTAGTGGCTCAAGGGAGGCTGCAGAGGATGGCAGGGACCAGGCCATACAGTGCCCTGCAGCCTGTAACAATGAGTTAGAACTTTATCCTGTGTTTGCCCAATCTACTTTCTTTCTCCCTCCTTTCTTACAAACTTTGTCGTCAAGATTAAACTTAAATCTATTACCTCAAGGGGGGCGCCTGGGTGGCTCAGTTGTTAAGCGTCTGCCTTCGGCTCGGGTCATGATCCCAGGGTCCTGGGATCGAGTCCCGCATCGGGCTCCCTGCTCTGCGGGAAGCCTGCTTCTCCCTCTCCCGGTCCCCCTGCTTGTGTTCCCTCTCTCGCTGTATCTCTCTCTGTCAAATATATAAAATCTTTAAAAAAAAAAAATCTATTACCTCAAGGAATCTCCCACTGACTTCTCCTGAGCTTAATCAACAGCAGGGGTAAAAGTGTGGGCTCTGAGGCAGGCAGACCTGGGTTCAAACATCTGGGTGGCCTTGGGCTAGTGACTTCACCTCCCAAAGGCTGGGCGTTCTTCCATAAAGTCAAGATAATGGCAGTATCTGCATGGCAGGGCTGTTGTGAAGATCAGGATAGTCATCACTGGGAAGTTCTTAGCACAGTACCTGGCTCCAAGTAAGGGCTCAATGAATAGTGCTGGTGTTATTTGTCTTCCTCCACTCTAGATTTGTTTCCCTTAACCTCCAACATCACCTAGAAGCCATGGCCTCCTTTTCAGAACACTAAGAAAATGTTCATTATCACTCACTTCACAGGCAAAAAAAAGCAAAGAGTTATTTCAATAGCCTAGGGATCCTCAAGGTCAACCCACCAAAACCTTTTAAAACCTCAAGCTCAAAGCTGCTCACACCCCATCATTTCAAACACATGCCAGCCAGCCTCATCTCTAGGGGATATGTGTTTTAGTGACTTAAGGGGAACAATCTTAGGTTTTGGGGAGGATCGTCCCAGGCTCTGCTGATCTAGAGAGTAGCTTTACGGCCCCAATCAAACGCTTCTCTGGCTGTCTAAAAGATTTATGCAGATCTGTGTGTGAATCACTGTGTGATCTTAGGCAATGTATTTACTGTCCTGACACTTAAGCAGTGCCTGGGCCACCTTTAAAGGCATTTTCAACTTTATGATTCTAAGCTCTCTGCATGGGTGTGCCCGGTACCATCCTGGTTTATGGAAATTATTCTGTTGTAATTATTAATTATATCTCTTTTACTCTGTAGTACACGGTTTCTCAATTTTGACACTCTTCACATTTTAGACAAGATAATACTTTGTGGTGGGGGGCTGTGCTATGCATTATAGGATGTTTAGCGGCATCCCTGGCCTCTACCCACTAGACGCCATATCCGTCCCCCCAAGTTGTGACAATCAAAAATGTCTCCAGATATTGCCAATGGCCCCTAGGAGACAAAAATCACGCCCCATTGAGAACCACAACTCTAAAGTATTTTAGTA